AAAAAAAAGAAGTAAAAAATAGTGGGAGACAATGGACTGAAGCCTGTATCTTTACTAATCAGGATGATTCTGTTAGTTATTTGGATTTTCAAGCAGCTTCATCAACAGTTGTTCTGTGATAGAAGGTTGAACTCAGTGCTCCTGATAGTCACCGTCATCACTGCCGAAAGTCTTTGTGAGCGTGTGGGGGAGGACGAGCACTAGAGAATGTGTAGCTCGCCAGGCTTCTCAGAATGTCACACCCCTTGTCAGTGCACGCTTAGGGCTGACACCACTGACTCCAGAGAGCCAGCTCCTCCTCAGGGCATTTCACAAATGTCACAGTTAGAAATCCCAGAGGCGATCTGTCAGGTGACAGGTGCTTGGACCTTTAAGGGGTTTGTTGGTTTTGTCTTACTCTCTTACCAGTGTTGCTTTTCTTTCTGGCCACAAGAATGCTTCATGCTCTCTGTAGAGATACAAAAGGAGGTAGACAGCACCCAGCACTGAGAGGCAGGCATGCTTCTCTCCTCATTCCAGCTTCTTCTTTTCACTCTTTCTAAAACTGCTCAAAAAAATGTTTATTTTAAAAATCTGATGTCATGGAAATTAAGATTACAGCTATTTACTTGTACATATATATTTTTTTTCTTCCAAGATCCACGCATACAACCTTGAAACAAATGCATGGGAGGAGATTGCAACAAAACCTCATGAAAAAATAGGTAATTAAAAGTATTGATTCATGTTTTTAGCTAATGTATTTTATACTTGTTTTGGGGGGGAGGTAAAGATAATTTTCTTAAGTGATATAGCACATAAAATAGTTATAAAAATGGTGTTAGAAGTTATTATTCTTCAGCTCTCAGTTGTTATTCTCCCTTAGCAACTGAGCAGAGAATTTTTAACATGGATAACTGAGTTATGTGGCACAAGTGGAAAAAAAAAACACACGAGAAATGAGAAATGGAGCTTAGGGGCTGGAGAGATGCTCAGTGTTTAAGAGCTCACACTGCTCTTCCAGAAGACCTGAGTTCTGTTTCCAACATCAGGAATTCACAACCTCCTTTAACTCCAGCTCGCATTGTGAGTTTCTCTGTGGATCTTTGAGGCACACATATGTGATATATACACATACTCATACAAGAATGATAAAAAGAATAGATCATCGGAACCGCACACCTGCCCGTCTGAGTCATTGTCATGTCCCTTCTCCTTTCTGACTTTCTCTGACTTCTCATCAGGAAGGGTTGGAGGGCTAGCTGTTGTTCTCTTGAATAATGGAATTCCTGTATTTATGTGTTCGACAGGTTTTCCTGCAGCCCGAAGATGTCACAGTTGTGTTCAAATAAAAAATGGTATGGAGTCTAAATAAAATTTTGATTCATTTCTGTAGTCTTACCTGCTGAGAATGACTGATTTCCTGGTTAGCTCCTCTAAAGGGGTGCATAATTTTGGACCACACTGATTTCTTTTCTTTTCTTTTCTTTTTTTTTTTTTTTGTTTTTTTGAGACAGGGTTTCTCTGTGGCTTTGGAGCCTGTCCTGGAACTAGCTCTGTAGACCAGGCTGGTCTCGAACTCACAGAGATCCGCCTGCTTCTGCCTCCCGAATGCTGGGATTAAAGGCGTGCGCCACCACGCCCGGCTGATTTCTTGTAATTTAAACTTATAGGGAACTCTAGAGAGTGTGTCTCTTGGTAGTTTTCAAAATGTAAACTAGTTCTGTGTCTGGGCTCTCTCTGTTAAAAGAACTCTGAAGTAGATGGTAAATAAGCTTTTGTTGTACCACTGGCTCTTTCAGTGTGATTTATGGTTCTAGCACTGTGAGTAAGACCTCAGTGCACATTGGGCTAAGATTGTAATAACTTCTCCAGACTATTATAGCATAAAGTTTATTCTGTTCTCTATCTGATGTGAACTCAGAGTTCATTCCTTGGTCCTCCTATAGCAAAGTCCTTGTATGATTTCAGAAAGTAGCAGCTACTTTAAGCATGGCAACAACTCTTGTTTGGCAAATATTCCTGGCTTTTAATGTACAGGACATTTTATAGTTTTTATAGTTGATGTCCCTCCTTGAGCACCCTTACTCCCCCCACCTCTGGGAAGGGGTGTATGCAGAAACTGATAGCCTGTATCCTTTTGCATCCCAGTTCAGATTTAAGTAGTACTTACCTGCCATTTTATGTATATGCAGGGACTTGTTAAAAATTAGGCTTCTGCTTTTTGGGTAAGATTTATAGGTAGTGACACTGTTCTGCTTTGCCTCTGAGAATGAAGCTGTGCTTTAACGTTTCTCTTGACTCCTAGCCAAAAAAGTTTCTGACATATTTTATAGTTTAATTAAGTATTGGCCTAAACTTGGCCCAGACTTGAATTAGCCATTTATTCATTTGCTTCCTGGGAGCCATGCATCATGCAGTTGGAACTTTTGGGCCTTTAAAAGGTGACATGGCCCTCGCTACAAGTAGATCAATAGTTAAAACTGACCCACCCAGAGCTATGCAGATCAAATGAGCGTTTTTGTGTGGCCCCAGATTGCATATTGCAGTGAGCATTCCTCCAAAGTGAGATTTCTATGGGGAGGATATTTGTTGCTAGGAATTTTAAAAAAGCATATGTTTTCCAAGATATTATTAAAAAGAAGAGTTTGAAAACCTGGGTTGTAGCTGTGTTTTATTTTTGATTAGTGTTTCTTGCCTAGTGGGAGTTTTAGCTTCTCTAGGAAATGGGGATGCAGTAGCTAGCCTGCCCCTCCCAGGGCATCCTCCTGGTGCTGCATAGCCACTCTCCTTCAGAGTGTGAACTTTCTCCAGAACTCAGTTTATTTCCAGCCTCTGTTCATTCACTTTCTGTGCCTGGAACCTAGAAATATTTAAATTTGAGAACGCTGACGTGAGCCTCCTAGAGGCTGGCATCCTTAGTCCCATTTCTGTTGAGGAATGCCCACCTGTCAGCTAAGCAGATGTTCTCCCGTCAGACATGCTGTAGCTGTAGTTCATTTCCTTTGTGTGCTATTGCCTTTCTCCTTTCTCCACAGATGTTTTCATTTGTGGGGGCTATAACGGGGAAGTGATCCTGGGAGACATCTGGAAGCTGAATCTGCAGACTTTTCAGTGGGTGAAGCTCCCTGCTACCATGCCAGAGCCTGTTTACTTCCACTGTGCAGCTGTCACACCCGTGAGTTTTGTTTTCAGTTATTCGTACATGATAGATGGCAAGGAGTACTAGCAAGTAGAAAAGACGCTGATACTTACAAACTTTAGGCTAAGAAAAGGAGAGAAAAATACTCTCACAAGCAAATTTAAAAGAGCACTGAAATGTACAGGAAATTTAGTATGTGGTATTTGAGGTCCTGACTGTCAATTCTTAGGTGTTTCCTAAGAAGGCAGAATAATGTGACTTTTTAGTACCATATTATTGACGATACTGTAAGAACCTTTATTTTCATCTTTGTATTACCAGAATTTGATAGTCTGGATGCTCAAATAATCTAAATTTAATTGTTAATAAAAAGTTGTTTGTAGTTTAAATTAACACACACACACACACACACACACACACACACACACACACAAAGCCAGGGAGTGATGGCGCATGCTTTTAATCCCAGCACTCAGAGGCAGGCGAATTTATGTGAGTTTGAGGCTAGCCTGATCTACAAAACGAGTTTCAGTACAGTTAGGGCTGCACAGAGAAACCCTGTCTCAAAAAAGAAAAGAAAAGAAAACCAAAACACAATATAAACGAATTAAAAAAAACAAAACAAAACCATAGAACTGGGTGTGGTAATTCCACCATGCAGGAAATAGATCATTTGAGCTTAAAGAGTTTGATTCCAACTATTTTCTTCAACAGCCACTCACTACAGAAGCACTTCTGCTTGGGGTCAGATCAGTGAGAGAGTCTGTGTCTGTGATGCTGGCTGTTGAACCCAGGGACTGGCAGTTACACAAGTGCTGTACCTGATTGCACGTCTAGCCGAGGGATTGTGTTGTTTCATCTTACCTTAATTCAGTGTGTGCTGCTCCCTCACTTTGCTGAGATCTCCACCTTGGTAGCTCTTTCTCTTCTAACTGCCGTTTGTTCATAGGCTGGTTGCATGTACATTCACGGAGGAGTTGTGAACATCCATGAAAACAAACGGACTGGGTCACTGTTTAAGATCTGGCTGGTGGTACCCAGCCTGCTGGAACTGGCGTGGGAGAAGCTGCTCGCGGCCTTCCCCAACCTAGCAAACCTCTCCCGAACACAGCTTCTGCACCTTGGACTAACACAGGAACTCATCGAGCGCTTGAAATGAGGATTTCCGGCCTGTTCATTGATACTGGAAATGTTAATTTAAAGAGACTCCTTTATTTATGGGCAGTGTAGAGTGTGCTACAGAGAGGATTGGTTACCCTGATCAAGGCCTTATTCAGAAAATACGTCAGATGCCTTTCTGTGAATGGGTTTAAGTTAATGGACATCTCACTCTCCTGTGCTTTCTTCTTTGCTCCCCTCCCTCCTGCCCCAGTATGCACCCCATACATGCATCCCTCTTTCTTGATGGAGCCGAGGGAATATCTAAAGTACCTTAATGAGGTTAGGAATCAAGAAAGAGAAATTGTTTTTTGTTGCTGTTTTTTTTTCAATTTTATTTTATTTTAAAGAAATTCTAAACATATTGACCATGTCAGCTAATACCACAGATTAAAGCATTATCATCAACAAACACCAAGTTTAAAAAGCCAGCAACCAACAGTGGTCTGGGAGATAGAACAAGAAGACTGACCTGGAACATCTTGCAGGTTGTTCTTATATTTGGATGTTGAATTAGTGTTTCTGAGATGTGTCTGAGTGGCTGGACTCAGGCAGCAGTGGTTGATGACTTGGCACAAAGATATCTAACCTTGACGAAAGGAGACAGTTCAGCAGTATTTGATTAGTGAGCCCCTCAACCTTGTGATAGCCCAGTGGTTAGCAGCGGCCTGCTGAGATTCAGTGCTGCCTGTCACTGTCGTGTTTTGTTGTTGTCTTTCAAGTTAAATGTATGGCGTCACGTTCTTTCCAGGCAGTTTTGAACTTCCCCTGCGCTTATTAATGGCTTTAAATATGTCTTTAGCCCCTTCCTGGGGAATTGTAGATTCTAAGTGCGTGGTGTAGATGTCAAAGGACAGTAGAGTAGAGCATAGCACCCGCACCCTTGAGACTTTTAGCTTAGCTTCTGCTTGGTGCGATGGGCTTTGACTATCATAGCAGCTGTTTCCTTTTCAGAGCGCGTTTCTTTGTGGTCTCTGGACCTTATTCCTGCATTTTCTCAGGCAGTTGGTTCTGGATTCCCTCCTGAGCTTGGTGCCTCTTTTGCTGTCTGCTTCAGTATACAGGATGCCGTAATTGCCTAGTAACTGGATAAAAGGTCTTAAGGAAGAGGCACAGCTTACCCTTCCTCGAGAAGCAAGTGCCATTGAAAACCATCAGGAGGAAGGAGTGAGACAGGGTCGTTTGCTTTGTGTGTGTCTAAGAGGTTTTAGTTCTGGTCTGTTTTGTTTTCTTAAATCTAAGAAGAAAGGAGACTTAAGTTTTACTCATTTCATCCTCAGACTGCTAGAAGAGTTGAGGGAGTCACTTGTGTGTAAGCCTGTGGGTACCACAGGTGTAGGCAATGCTGGAGGCCTGCCCTCCTGCAGGCCCCTTAAGGAGGAGATACCTGCAGGAGATTTTGAACACATTTTTCCTTTAAGTGCCTCTTTTTCACCTAGCTTTAACATTATTCTTTTTCTTTTTGCCCAGAAGAGATCTCTGTAGTTTGTGTGGATTTAAAATCACCTTTGAGTTAGAATTAAAAAGTTCTGCCCAGTGTGCAGTTCTAGGGTAGGTCTTTTGACTTCTCCTTGCAGCAGGCCTTAGGCTCCATCCGTGTGGGTTGTTATTGGAGCCTTTGCCCACCATCTGTAGAAGCACTTCTCTGTGAGTAAGGAAATGGAGCTGCTCTTCTAGGGTTCCCATCCCCCAACCTCGCCATTCCCTGTTGGTGTGGCTTTGGCTTCTTAACCACCAGAGGAGCCCTCTCCAGAGGAAGTCAGCCTGAGCCACTTTGTGAGTTCGAAACTGTGTGACTCCAGGCCAGATCTCTGAACCATGGCAGAACTACATCCCAAGCTAGGAGTGTTCAGCCTCTGTGCTTTGACTCCCATGGTCTTTGGAATACAAGAGGGCCTCTGGTTCTGTTAGACCAGAAAGTTGTAAAGAGGGTCCCATTTGCTGGCATCCTTTGTAAGCCGTTTGTAGGCAGTCTTCTTAGAGGTAGATGTTAGAGGCCTGACATGAACGACCGTGTGTATCTTCTAGGTACACGTCTGGTCTAGAGTGTCTGGGAATAGAACACTAGGGAAAGTGCGGCGCAGCCGGGAGTGCTGGAAGCTGCTCATGCGCACATGTTCTGGATGCCAAACTGTAGGTAAGGACTGGGTGTCCTCTGACGGTCACCAGCATTTTAGTTTCTCTATAACCAGCACTTACTTGGATTCCCAACAGCATCACCTGGGTGGGAAAGGTAACGATGCCTGCTGCTCCTCTGCCTCTTTTGAGGTATGCCCCGCCATCTTCCTGCAGACCCGGAAACAGAAGTGCAATATGTAGAAACACGGTCTGCACGGATTGTGTAGATGCGATGACTCTAAAGTAGCTACACTTTCTGTACCTGTCCTGGGCACGTCAGTTTATTCCTTTAGAGTAAAATGATACCAAGGATTTTCAGTGTGATCATAAGCCAACTTCTTGGTAAAGCTGGATTTTTTCCAAGTCCATGCTTTCTTATTCTAGTTGATAAACAAATTCCTGTTCCTTGGTTTATAAGAGCTGAGGTTTCCCATTCCTGTTTGTACTCCCTCCTATTTGCACGTCTTGCCCAGGAATGAGGAAGTTCACTTGAGAGGGTTGCCCAAGTGAAGAATTAAAGCCTAACACTAGTCCAGTTCTCCTACATATACACTAATTTATCTGAGAATGTAATACCTTATTAAATGATGCTTCCATCACTATAAGGTATTTTCCACTTCACAGAAAAACTGCAAACCAGTATGTAATAGATTAAACTTTCCCTGCTTTTCAGGGCAGACAAACCCTTTCCACTGGTAGGAGTCTAATGACTTGATATAAAAGCTTGCTTAATAGCATTCATGTCTAGCACAGAGCTAGATTTAAAAACTATATATATATAATGGAAATATTAACATTTCTAGATTAAAAAGTATGATGGTGACCTTTGGTTACCCACAGTAGCAGGAAGAAAGCACAGACAGTGAAACCCATGGATAATCAGTGTTTCAACTTTCCTGTTAACAATTTTTTTTTTTCGAGACAGGGTTTCTCTGTACCTTTGGAACCTATCCTGGAACTCGCTCTGTAGACCAGGCTGATTTTGAACTCTGCCTCCTGGGTGCTGGAATTAAAGGCATGTGCCACCACTGCCCAGCTAAACAATTTATTTACTTACATATCTTTCCCCTTCCTGTTCCTCTCCCACAGACATCTCCTTTTCAAGGGACTAGTAGTTAGGAAAGGAAAAGTTGAGAGGGGCTAGCAGCCAGCCACCACACCAGTGGTCCCATCAGCTTTAGAGGTGTTGTCGCAGTGGTCACCTGAGGTGAGATGGTGCCCTTGAGCAAGGTCTGCTGCTGAGTTCTCTACTGCCTCCTCACCAGAGAACTCTTCAATCCTGTGGGAAGAAAAGGCTGCGTCTCACAGAAACAGGAAACCCCATCATTTGAACACATCTCTTTAACTTGACAAAGTTTGCTTTTCCGTTTCTTCCTTTGGAGTCACCTTCTCCAGTCTGATAGCCTGGTGTGCAGGAAGGGCGCACTGTCCTCTTGGACTGTGTTGGGTTTTGTCTCTTCTAGAACCAGCCTGGTTTTCTGTGGTCTTTGGGATGCTTACAGTGGCCCTCCCACCGACACTCTGATGTAGCACAGAAATCCATTTTCCCTTCTTTTCTTTCTTGTGTTCTGGTATTGGCTTCAGGGGGAATGAGGGTTTATTGTCATAGCCCTGCATTTCAAGAAGTGGTTGCCATAGGTGTAAATTCCACTGGTTCCCAGGTCCCTTAGAACTCTGGAAGCATTGGCAAGGCCCAAAGCAGGCTCGGTGGGGTTTTGGAACCTCCATGTGTAGTCACCCTTCAAACTTGGTGAGATTTAGAAGAAAAATCTCCCCCTGCCTAGTGTCATAAACAGAAGTCTGAACTGTGCTTCAAAGGTAGTGCCGTCTTCTTGGTGTGCTTCCCACGTTGTTAATTTGTTTAAACTTTTGAGAAGTTTTTTAAAGGCCCCACTTAGTCTGCACAGGCTGAGTCGGAGAGAAGGCCAATTTCACTACGTAGTAGTAGTCACTGTCGTGCCAGTTACACGTCAGGAATAGACAGAGGCAGCGGAAAGCACGCTGACCGTGCAGAGGGCTCAGGGAGACTGCAGGCATCTCCCTGGACAGGCTGGAGAGAGGACGGCCTTCCGTTGCAGCTGCTCTGAGGCTGGGCCAGGCTTGGCTCTTCATGCAGGCTGCGAGGCCATACACAGTGCTTGCCTTATTTTAAAGCTATTTGCCACAGTCCTGTTAATAGTGTGGATGTCCTTTTGCAGTCTGGTGTGCATGCCATGTGATCAGGACAGCTTTTCCACCTCCCCTGGTTTCCTACAAGCAAGTAAATCTCCCCTGAAATGTCCAGTCTGTACTTATGTACCTTGTCAGTGTTTGCTGTCGGTTTTCTAAAACAATCTGATCAATAAATCTCTAAACATATGTGGTCCAAGTCGCCATGGATTGTCTGTAGTAATTTGTGCACGTGGGAACTCCCCTGTTGATATACACAGCGGTCCCCATCAGAGTCAGCTTTGCTCTGTCACATCTGTGCGCCTCCACTGCCACCCCACCTGTGATAGGTTCTGTCTGCTCCCTTTCCAGATCTCCTGCACCCACGGGAACCCTCTCAGTAGAGCTCGCTCTGTGCAAGGGAGCACCTGTGGGGCAAGCCCCTCCCCGTGCCCTTTCCTAGACCCCACAGCTGAGCATATACTGCCGAGCAGGTTTGTGGTGTCGAGGCTTCCCTGAAGGGTTGGAGGAGATACAGGGAAGTCTGGGGTATGTGAGCTCTATGAACAGTCATAGGACTTCACAATCCAAAGAAAAGGCTGGAGTTGGAGTCCTGGCCTGGGGTTCTGTGGACATGGAACTACAATTCTTACTCTACTTCACCTTCTGACCTTTCTCCAGAGTAGACAAGGACATTCCATCCACATTGGGTCACTTTAAGGCCTGTCTTCTAGGATTGAACACACTCAATTCTATTTACGTTGACTTTTTTTGGTTTTTCGAGACAGGGTTTCTCTGTAGCTTTGGGGGGCCTGTCCTGGAACTAGCTCTTGTAGACCAATCTGGCCTTGAACTCACAGATATCCACCTGACTCTGCCACCACCACCCGGCTCCATTGACTTTTTCTAAGGACAGATTTTTTTTTTTGGCTGCTACAATGTAAATCTCAAAGAGGAGAAGGGGTTTGTGCTCCTTCCTCCACCATACAGACAGTTCTTAAAATGTCCTGTGCTGGTCGATCTTTCCTCCTTCAGATTGTTTTCCTCCTAAAACGCACCCCTCCTCAGGCCTACCAAGAATCTGAAGTAAGTCCCTTTAACTTCCATTCGTTTGACTTGCCAGGACTTTGAAATAGACTCTTGCTTAGAGAAAGAAAAAGAGGCATGGTGGCACACACCTTTAATCCCAGCACTCTGGAGACAGAGGCAGGCCGATCTCTATGAGTTTGAGGACAACCTGGTCTACATAGTGAATTCCAGAATAGCTAGGATGACATAGAGACTCTGTCTCAAAACAAATAAACAAAAAGCAAAAAAAAAGAGACCAGTCCCCCAGAGCTGAAGTTCCAGGTGGTTATGAATTGAACTCCTCAGGACTGCCGAGCCACCTTGAGCCACCCTTCAGTCTCTGAAGGAGTCTCTTGCTTGCATTTGACTGGGCTCCTAAGCAAGGCCCATTTTTGGCCGAGGGAGGGGTTGCAGTATCTCAGTGGGTTTGTATGATGTAGCTTTTCTGGTCACATTTATAAAATCCTAGTTTGTTGGAAACTACTGCGGAGCTCTTAGTGTCTCCGCATCACCTGTGGTTAGTCTACGGCGCTGCGTGCATGCTGCCTTCAGACACAAGTCCTTCTGCGGGGATTTAATATAAAGAGCCACACACGCCCCAACCACAGATTAGCAGTGTTAGAAAGAGAGGAGGGGTTGGGATAGGTAGGGCTCGCTCTGCTCCTGCTTCCTGCATGTAACACTTTTTCTTGGGTCAGTCAGAGGAAGTGGATTTCCAAGGTCCCGTATGGGTCAGACACCTATGGGTAGGATGCTGGCCAAACGCTGTACAACTCTATAACTGGCCTTGGATGGCCACTACCTCTCGGTCCGACGCTCCAGTTGTTGATGGGCTGCGCTTGGAGTTTGTAGGTGAGTGCCCCCTTTGTGCCGTGACCACTGTGTGATCCAGGTTTGGACAGAGTAGGCTGTAAGGGGAGCAGGAAGTAGAGAGCCAGCCGCAAAGCTAACCTGTAAGCCCTGGTTTACAGCCATGCAGAGCTGACGGCTGACTCAGCCGGGAAGAGCGGGGCAGCACAGGGGGTTCGAACTACAACGTACACACGGGTAGAAAGAGAGACGCACCTCCCAGGGTTAGCCTCTGCGCACAGTCATTAAATGAGGTCTAAATCCCCAGTTCTGACTCAGCTGTCCCACCACTGCTCACGGTCTTCCGTGTCCCTGTTCTAACTGTCCCGCCGAGACCTGCAGAGCCAAGGCCAGAATGAATGAGCACGCTTGCTTGTCTTTGCCCGCTCACCCTGGTGTTGGGATGACAGTCTGCTCACACAGGCTTACCAGCTCCCTCTCAAGAACCACCGAAGTAATAGTCAAATGCTTTGGTGTCATTTCCCCTAAAGTGGGGTTAATAGTGTCTCCTGCTGCCCTTGGGAGGCAGGAGTGACTGCGTAAAGAGCTCCGAGATGACACGATCGCATAGCTGCTGGTCACTGCTGCGCTCTGGAGCACGGAGGTCTCAAACTGAGACCGTCATTTAGGTGACAGTGTAATTAGCGATGGAAGGGATAGTATCTAAGACAAATAACAACAACTAAGCATCACGGCCTGACCTGCTCAGCACTGCAGCGCTAGACTAGAGTGGGGGCCTGGGAGCCCAGGGCTGGATCCTCAGCATCCCCCTTGCCTTAAAGCAAACAAGCACCTTGTTCTCCTGGATACTGCGAATGGCTCTTTTCTGGCTAAGTCTGTAATTTGAGGGACTCACAGGGTGTGGCTGTTAGGTTAGCTCAGATACAGCCTGGTGTTTGGGAACCTTTTAATTTAAGAGCCAGTCCTAGAAGGGAAGAAATAAAGAGAAGGAGGTATATTTAAAACAACAAAACCACAGACAGCCCACTCTGTTGTGGTAAGTGTGTGGTTTTATTATCTGGCCCAAAGCTTACTCCCTGCTATCTTGTCCCTTCATAGTCTCAAGCAAGAACATTATTTTCTCCTTAGCCAGGCAAAAGGAGGCAGAGGCCTTACAATGCCGAGGAGATCCAGCAGGTTCCCATCCTGCTCCCCTAAGGTCGTGACACCCTAGCCACAGGTACAAAAGTGGGGCTTCTCAGCTCAGGAAGCAGGGAGGCCTGCTCAGTACGGCTCCTTGGCTAGCGAAGGGACAGAGACAGCTGCACACTTGGGTCACTTGCTATTCTGGTAACCCACACCAAGCCAGGATCTCTACAGCAGCTGTACGTGTGACATAAAACAGGCGCCAGGGCGTGTCTCCTCAGAAGGGACAGGCAGGTCAGTTATCTTTCTTGAACCAGGAGTCTGGAACTGAGAAGGCTCTGGTCAAAAGTTCTTTGACCCCTTTGTAAGAGAGCAAATTTATTTACAGTCCGGTGGCTGAGGGAGACCCTTATTGACTTCAAGAACTCCATCGTCCAACAAGCAAACTCAGATTCAGGATCAAAGGTGTCAGCCGCTGCTCTTTGCCCACCCTGCGCTGCCTGGAACCCTTAGGAGTGATGAGCATGGGGCCAGCACACCACGGGGCCAAGACTGCACCGGCAACTTTCCCTCCTTGGTGGCAAAGCCGTATCTGCTGTCACGCCAGCATTTCTCCGTACACTTTCTGCCTAGCTAATTGCCGTGGAGCGTGCGTGGTGGTGCGCACGTGCTTTTCATCCCAGCATTTGAGAGGCCCAGGCAGGTGGACCTGAGTTTGAGGCTAGCCTAGTCTACATAGTGAGTTCCAGGACAGCTGGGGCTTCTCGAAACCAAACCAAACCAGAAACCAAACAAAAACATATTGGAATATAAGCTTGAAGGGCTTAGCCTTATTTCACAGGAGGATAGAAGAGCTTAAAGCACGGAAGGGACCCTTCCCCAGATGGGCGTGGCTCCGCGGAGCCGCACTGCGGCACGGTGAAGCCTGGGGCTGGGCCAAGAAGCCGTGCTAGAGGAGGACCCCAGGTCCTCCAGGTGTCACCGCCAGTCGTTTGTGCCGGCAAAGCTCCCGATGTGCACACTGCCGCCGAGTCAGGTCAGGGTTTTCGGAAGGTAAGATGGCCTCGTGTTTCACCGAGAAGCCGCCCAGGGTGTTTTCTCTGCCGCCCTCTGGCGGGCAGCGAGGCGGGCAGCTCAGAGCCAGGCCGTGTGGCCACCGAGGCTTGCAGCGACCCGTGTCCACGTTGACTGCATCTAGTGGGCAGGCAACCCAGCTGGGTTGCCACAGGGGACGCGGCCTTGCATTCTGGCAGGTTGCACCCAGAGGCAGGGGTCCTACCCAGGAAACGAGTTAGAGAGCAACTGAGGACAGCGTAAGTTGGCAGTGTAATGATGCCCTCAGAGGAGCACCGGGAGCTAGTTTTCCAGGGACAGCACCCACCTTCAGGTGCCTCCTGGACGGGGACGAAGCCTGTGACAGAAGCCGGCAGAACTGCGGTAGAAACTGCCAGTGGAAAGTGAGGGAGAGCCCCTCCGGCAGCGCTCGGGAAGGTCTGATACATAATCGGGGGTCTCGCTCTAAGGCAGTTCGTTGGGAAATTTTAAGTTCGGGGTCACGCCAGGGACCCTTCTTGGTACACAGGGTGAGGCCACTTCAGCCAGGGCACTCCGAGTACACAGAGCAAGGCCTGGACTTCAGCTCCCATCTCTTTATCCTGGGGTGGACACTTGCGTAATGACAACCTGAGGAACATGGCAACCACCCTGGGCACCACCCTCAGAGGATGCCCTGAATGCCAAGCCCTCGGCCTGGGAGACATAGGAAGATCCGCGTGGAACTCAAACAGGGGTAGCATGGGTCTAGGACCTTTCCCGCTAGGCTTTGCGCGGGAGGAGCCCCCCCTCCCTCCACAGCCCCCACGAGGTATTGCAGTGCGGTACAGCAGAGGGGCCCAGGGCTGCGGGGGAGAGCCACTCTGAACCGGAATGATCTGGTTTAAGGCGAGCTGATTCTCCCTCCCGCTCCCACTCCCCGCTTAGCCCTCCCTTCTCCTTCTGCGACAGGCTGCTTTCTGCCGCAGTCCCCTGACCAAGGTAAACAGGAGGGAGGAAATAAAAAGCTCTGTTTCCATGGTAACCTAGAGGGGCGGTCGATGTCGCTCTCTCGGAAGTGCTTGTATGACTTTAGGGGGAAAAGAGGCCCCACTGGAAAAGCAACAGGGAGGAAGGCCCCTAGCTGTGTTCATAATGGCGTCGTTTTGGAAGGT